TTTTCTTTAATTAATTAAAGAAAAACATTTTTATTAAAGTAATATTTAATTAAAAAAAAACTTAAGATACTATAAATTTACTTTAGGACAACAAAATGCATAGATCGTAACTACTCTGATTCAGAAGAATCACTGCTGACAGAATCTTCCAAATTTATAGTATCCAAATCACAGGTAGACGATGTATCCTCACATATAAGATATTTCTGTACATCATTTTATAATATGTTACTTTTTCGCGTTGTTACTGTTCTTTTTGTTGGTATGAGGGGTTCAGATGTTAATAGTTACCTCTTTAATAGACCATATCCATATATTATTTTTTCCTTTTCTTGGGTATGTGGTTTTATAATAAACTGAAAGATGGAAACTTTTTTTATGCGACGTTTCGCTCCAACATAGTGGACTTTTTCAGGCACAAGTGGTGTCTCATTTGACTGGAGGGTTCATCAATATCTAATAAAGAACACATTTTTTGAAATACATATAATTTTGATTTCTTGTCCTTATGATCGAGCCAAGTATTAACCAGATCGGCATTGCTTATCAATTTTACTCCATCTGAAAAGTATTATAAAATAAAGTTCGTCGCAAGCAGACGTAGGTGAACTATACAAAAATTAAAAGTGTATGAATATGACAACAAAAATATTTAATAAATACGATATGTTTTGATGTTTTTTTTTAAATGCCTTTTTGAAGTTTGAAAACGTAAAATTTTTATACCCATTTAAGAATCATCTTAAAAAATAAATAAAAACTAAACAATCACGACCTTGTTTAGAAATAAATTTAAAGTACATACCTTGTTTAACAATATTCATAGTGGCTTTCAATTAAGTACGTACCGTTTAACTCCATAATATACAGAACTACTATGAATGTTATTCTTTTCACTGATAAGATAATGATCGCAAAATTTATTTTTAGTGAAAATATTTGCTAACAAAAAACGCTGTTTATGAAAAATAATATACAGGATGGTTGAACATTGCTATAAGTATAAAATTATATATTCAGATATTAGTAAATTTTAACTTATTTTTTGATTTTTGTCCATGGGACGAAGCACTGTGCGACCGGTCGGAAAGTCGATTGTAGCCGCGCACTGGAGTCGCACGATCGACGGTCGACGGTCGAGAGTACGTCACCAGCATAAATTTGAGCATAGACGAGGAGAAGTTTATTCAAATTTAGTCAAATTCATTCGGCATTTCAAAAAATTATAAAGTATTATTACTATTTATATTTTTATGCAACTTTTTATATTTTATGCTTTATGATGGAAATTGATATTATTTAGATCTTAACCAAACACACATTAATAAATTTAGATCTTAACAAACCACATAAAATTAGTGAAATAGAGTGGAAGATGGGGATAAAATATACTACATGACTCTTAGCTTAACCGATTTTAACAAATTTGGTATAACTCAAAAGGGTTTAATTTGTTCTTTAAAAACAAAGCTAGATATGAAAAATAGTCAAATAAAACTTTTATTTCTAGTTTTTTAATCTAAATAAGTGTCATTACAAACATTTATATATCGCTTTTATTTTAAGTTTTTAAAATCTTTGTTTTAAGTCAGTAGTAAATAAAACGAAACTTGTGTTTACATTTTGTTTAATGATTGACGTTTCGACCAATTTTAATTCGGCCTTCTTCAGAATCTATAATATACGTATAAATAATTTTCTACGTTTGTGGTAAGAAAAAATTATATATTAAACACATTGTTAGTGATAAAATTGTATTGTATATTATAGATTCTAAAGAAGACCGAATTAAAATTAGTCGAAACGTCAATCATTAAACAAAATGTAAACACAAGTTTCGTTTTATTCACTACTGACTTAAAACCAAGATTTTAAAAACTTAAAATATAATAAAAAAGTCAAAGAAAATTGAAAAAATAAAAAATATAAATAGTTTTTATAGTACCGTATTATCGAAAAGGAACGGCATCAGCGATGACCATGAAATGAAGGTCGGTGCCATTTTATATGTAAATTTATATAGGAAATGTCATCAATCGTCATTTCCCATCCAACTGGACGCCGTTTTTTTCTAACATACGGAAGATATATGTACAAATATTTTATTCAAACATAAATATTATTTTCTCTATTTGTACCTTTTACGGAGCGATCAACATAGAAACATAGGATGACTATCAGCTGTTATTACTAACGTCAAAACAAACCAAAAATTAAATAATATGATAAGTTTTTTGACGATATTTAAATTCGATTTTCAAAGTAATGTGAGATAATCAAAACGAGATGAGAAATAAACGGGTTTAATCGGAAGGTTTTCTAATTCAGTTATTGAATAAGTGTAGTAAACAATATAGGTTACGTGCTTGTAAGAAATTTTTATCAGAAAGCGCATATTAAGTATGATATGGTCTCGTACACTTTCGATTAATAATTCATCGGACATGTTTAATGTAAAACCGCTCCACTAAAAACAGTCGCTCGGCGTAGACTATTCGCCCCCTCCCATGCATTCTCTGATTTCGCTTGATGGCGCGAGTATCGCCGATAGCTCGAAGCGCACCGAGCGCACCGATCTAATGCGGTGCGCGGGCTAAAGCTCCGCGCGCACTGCATCGGATCGGGCCGGCGAGAAACGGCGAAGGCGATGACTTGACTATCGTAGATAGGTAGAGGCATAGACAAACAGAAAAATTAAAAGACTGCCAGAAGACATACGACGCGCAGGCAAATGTACCTGTAGCGCATCGACGCAAGTGCCGAAATACGTCCATCTAGCTATCTGTGTTTCGACACTAGTCCGTTAGTCTTAGCATATTCAGAAAGAACACGCTAATCTCCAGCGTTGCCAATTTGTGGGGAATTTCCCTAATTTTGGGGAATCCGGAGCCGATTGGGAATTTTGTGGGGATTAGCAATAGGCGGCGAAAATAAGGGGAGTTTCAACATTTTATTGCTGATTGAAAATGGCGTAAAATTTTTAGCTTTAAAAACGGAGCGGGACGATACCTATATCTTTCCCAACTTAAAAATTATAATCTGCTTTTTACTTATGCTTCCCTTTGCAAATGCTTCAGTTGAAAGAAAATTTAGTGACCTCAAATTATTTAATGACTACTAGGGAAGGGATTAAAAAACAAGGAGTCAATTTACAGTTTAATCCCTCTAATATGTATAATAAATATTGTATTTTTATTAAAATTATTTTTTTTTGTTAAAATAATCATATGGGGAATTTTTGGTGAATCTGGACATTTTTCTCCCCAAATTGGCGAGTTTAATTTAGATTTTTGGATAGTTTAGAAAATTGACATTGGCAACGCCGCTAACCTCATTTTTTTGTTTGTTGTTTGTTCAAAAACCGGCACACGGCGTAGTACAAACGCTTGATCATTTTTTAAGAAATTTTGATTGTTAATTTTATTTTTGTGCAAACTAAACAGTGGTTTTTTATTAAAAAATAGCAGACAAAGGTAAGAAAGGTAATGTCCATGCAGAAGTTTTTATTTCACAGGCTATTCTTTCTAGAAATTATACCATCCAGCCCTCCTATTTAATTATTAAATAAAAGTGTGAAGGAGATATCAAGGGCTATTCTGTTAAAATATCATCCGGCCAGTCTAGGCCCTGTTGTGAACCAGAAGGTCTGCTAAGTTGGATGTTGGATATAGAATGGAAGGAATATCATGGCCGAGAACAAGGCATAATTGTATGTCCCTTGATGTAGGGGGGTAGGTTTGTTTCTAATAGGTAGTAAAACCAAAAATTCTACTGTGAATCTTCATATTCTAGGCCTGTAAAGATAAATAATTCCTGGAGCCATCTCGAGGTATAGTAAGTACTCAAGTCGGAGCGAATCAATTGGTAGCACGTTGAAATAAAATAATAGCCATCATAAAACTGTAAATATGGATATAACTAGTACAATGTAGCTATTTAACTGTAAGTACAATGTAGCTAGATATTTAGTAGAGTAGGGGTATTATAAATTAACACAAAATACAATAATTGGTCATTCTTTCCATTCCCATTCAATTCTTCCCATTTAATCGTTTTCCCATAAAAAAAGGAAAATTAAAATAAAGAGTGCCCTTAACCAAAAATAGTGAAATAAATGGAGATAGTCAAATTTTATATTAGCGTGTAAGACTTTGAATAAAAAGGCGTAAAAGGATTATAAATGCTGTATTTATATCCTTTAGTATCATGATAATATAAAACTTGAGTAGGTATCTCCATTTATATCACTGTTTTTGATTAAGGGCACTCTTAGTTTTAATTGCCTTAAAAATAATAAGTATAATAATAATTTAAATCTCCCGCTCTTTCATAGTTCGTACCTGTAGCCAAGTAGAGGGCGCTAAAAGCGCAATCTCCCAACATTTTACCACGCGATTCACCACTCTCTAAACTTTCTCTATGGGTAGAGGTAGGAATCTGGCCTCTACAGGCCGAAATGTTTTAGTGGACGCCGGCGCCGCGGCCGTCTATATGTACGATGGTCGCAGTCGCTTTTGCTGGTCGGTCCGATCCGATGCAGTGCGCGCCCTCCTTTATATTTATTTCAACGTAAACTGAAAATTACGTGTCGCTCGCTCTCGCCGATACCTATTCAGTGCAGCGTTATTTCCTGGTGTATTTTTTCTTCTTTACCGAATAAAGTTCTTTATTATTATTATTACTTTGCCGAAAATTTTTCGATCTATATAATTTGTTTTGTCATCGGTACCAATAACCAAACCTAAATTCCCTTATGACAGGTTTGCCACCCATTCCAACCATTTTCGATTGATCCGTATAAGCCTCGCAGCGACGCTAAGCTTTTTGCGCGCCCGGTATAACTTCATTATCGCCATATTTTATGGGTTTCATAAATTGAAAAAACCGTATAAATGTTCCGACACGAAGGGAATCAGCTACAATTTCAGTTGAAAGTCTTATTTCTAAACAAATATGGTAAAATTAATCACCTTAGTACTTCTGGTACTTGTGGTAACAGTCTTTCAGGCAAACAGTCAGTTAAACGCAAGTATTTCTACATCAAGCAATGTAGAGAACAAGGGAGTAAATCGCAATATCATCTTCGACAGTAAATGTAACCCTGGATACATACTTCTAAATGGAAAGTGCAGACCAACGTAAGTTTTTATATGAATAGAGTTTGGATTTTTAAAAACTTTCTGATATACTGGTTTTATTACCAATAATACCAGTTATGTTCTACAATATTTTCTTTTTCTCATATTGGACTAGATTATTTCATTTTAGATTAGAAGAGACATTGTCCAGTCTTATCTTTTTTCCAAAAAGTTAAAAGCTTGGATACTGTACTCTCCATAAAGCTCTTCGTCAATGGCCTATCAGCAGAAAGAACCGCACATTTGCCATAAAATGTGTTTCTGTCGATTCTTCTTGAGATTGACTGAAATCTGCACATGCTCCAAACAGCTTTAGACCCTGTTCAGCTTACAATGTCTTATTAGTAAACCCACTACAGCTTTAACAGTCTTTCTGTCTTTGCTTACTTTATTTTTCCATTCGTTGCAATTTTTTTACACAAACTGCATTTTGAAACGTGCTGATCTCTATTTGTTAATTCATCTATTTTTTTTGTTGTTTCAGATTCCGGACTAAACGCTAAGCAAAATAATACATATATACTGGGCATCAATAAAAAATGGACTAATTATACGTGTATAAAAAATATTGTAACAATAGTAAATGTGAAACTAAAAGAATTTCGGACTTCCATTGTCTTTATTTATTTTTCCTTATACAACGTTCGGACAGAAGTATCACTGACCGTTATCAAGTGTGAACTAAACTACGTTTTACGAGTGGCTCTCATTTTGTAGAAATTTCCATACTTGGATTGCTAAATAATTTATTATTGCTAGATATGAATACGGCCTCTTTAAATTTGCGCTTTTTCCAAAAGGGTTCTTTGTGGACAACCCGTGCTTCCGACCATTTTATGTTGTGGTGCTTGGACCACACATGATCTGCAATGCCCGACTTCATTGTTTCACCTCTTTGCGTATGTTTTTTATGTTCGTCAAAGTCGTACATGTACCGGGTGGCCAAATAAGAATGGACGCCGGCTGTATCTCAGAAACTACTTATCGTATAACTTTAGGAAAAAAAATCTAAAAAGTAAATCGACTAAGAGAAATCGCTGGAAAATATTTTCAACTTCGAAAAATGTCCGCTAAGGGGCGTTTCTCTGATAGCCAATCAGAAAACAGGGGTTTTCTCAAAAATATGCAGGTGAGCAGGTATTTTAAATATTACTCTTGTAATCATCGAGAAATTTGTAATTTTTTTGATATAGAGTGTTTTGCTCTATCTCATAAAATAAAGTGGTGGGGGAAGGTTAAACTTGCTTTTATTAAAATAAGGATAACTTTGGTTTAGGTTACCCGATTTATACAAACTAGGGCTCGTTTTCAAGAGCTTTTCTTCCTTAATGATCTCTAGTATATTTTTTTTCCATAATTTCTTTCGTGGTAGCTGGAGGGCGTTGTTTGACATCATAACAGATATTGGGGTTTTGCATAAAAAAATCTATATTTCTCTTTGTACAGTTAAATAGAGCACAAAATTTCCAAAATATCAGCGCAAACCGCAAGTTTCTATCTTCTCTCTAACCGGAAATATTAAGAGAACAAATCATGTTAGGCTGCCGCTTAGGATTATATGGTCTAAAAATTATAGTAGTAGGCTAGGAAACAAAAAGAGGTAAATTGGTAAAAAAAAACTTCTTCTTCTTCTTCCTTCTTCATACTAGGCGAATTGCCTGTTTGGTTTCGTCGTCTCTACCGGTTAGACTGACAAGTTGTCGCTCCATCGTTTTCGTGGACGTTCTAAGCTTCTGCGACCTAGCGGTGATTTGTCGCGTGCAACTCTCACTATCCTTCTGTTGTCCATTCTGCTGATATGCTCGTTCCATTCTTCCTTTCTGCTAAGTACCCACTCATTTACATTTTCCACCTTGCACGCTCTTCTTATGCTTTCATTTCTCTTCCTGTCCAGAAGCGTCTTTCCAGCTATTCTGCGTAGTACTCTCATTTCGGTTGTTTCTAGTAGTTGTTTAGTTTTCGCTGTATCAGGTCGAGTTTCTGCAGTGTATGTCATTATTGGTCGTAGCGTTGCCTTGTAAATTCTCGCTTTAGTCTCCACCTCAATGTTTTTATTTCGCCATATTGTATCATTTAGGCATCCTGCTATTCTGGTTACCTTCGTTGTCCGTTCTCGCACCTCCGCTTCTACATCACCATATCCTGAGATTTCTATGCCTAGATACTTAAACTTCATCTCTTGCTGAATAACATTGCCCTCGACTTCCAGTTTGCATCTTAGTGGTACTTTTAATGTCGTCATGCATTTAGTTTTCTGAGTCGATATTATCATAATAAGTGATTTGGCAGTGCAATTAAATCGATGTAATAAGCGCTGTAGATCGTTCTCATTTTCAGCTACCAATACGGCGTCGTCGGCATAGTTAGAATAGTAATTTCCTGGTCGCCCATACTGTATCCCTTCAGTAAACGTACATTTCCTATTATTTCGTCCATAATGATGTTGAAAAGAAGAGGGCTCAGGGAGTCACCTTGTCGGATACCACAGCCTACATTTATTGGTTCGGTCAGGACCCCGTTAATTTTAGCTTGAATTTGGTTCGCTTCATATATGTTTTGTATGGTTTTAACGAGGTTGTGTGGGATTTGCCTATTGTAAAGAAGGTGTACAACGTCTCTTAGCTGCACACGGTCGAACGCTTTTTCTAAATCAATAAAACACATATACGCTGGTTTGTTATATTCGATTGATTTTTCTGTTATCTGTCTTATGACAAAAACCGCGTCTGTGCATGATCTGCCCGATCTGAAACCTTGCTGTTCATCTGCTAAGCATGTTAAGTCGTTTATTTTGGTTGTTATCACTTTTGTCGTAAGTTTTAGTGTGGTGCTTAGAAGATTTATGCCTCTATAGTTTGAGGGCAGCTTCTTATCTCCTCTTTTAAACATCAAGATAGTGGTGCTGGTTCGCCATTCATCGGGTATCCTGTGTTGGTAAAGAATTTTTTGAATCAGGGATGTTAGCTGCTGTATGAGAGATAGTAAAAAAAAACTAAGTATGTAAAAAAACTATTCAAGAACACTTTAATTTTTTTTGGTAGATGTGTTTTTATCAATTAATTCGCATCGATAAAGGCTTATCAGTATGCCAGAGATAAGATATGTTTAATTAATTTAATCACTCTTACTTCTGCAATCTCAGTTTAATTGTTACTTTGAATGTTACCTGACGATTTTTGTAGAAATAATTAATTATGAGTAATCTACTCAAAGTTGTTATTTTCCTAATTACATTGGTGACATGTATAAGTGTGATCGCGTCGTTCAACTTGGGAGATAGACTAAAATCTTCATCCAACTCCGAATCAGAAGATCATGAGGATCCAGCAATATTCCGTATGGTTCAGAGCATAATAAATGTACCTTGTAAAGCTGGATACGTTTATATAAACAACAAATGCGTCAAATCTTATGATTAAAACGATTCAGGTAGGTTTTTTGGGAGTATTATTTGATCTTTTTTTTAATACATTAAATTTCGAAGTAGGTAGTTTGATATACAAGATGGTCCGAACTGTATTCCGGGAGCATATTCTGCAAATGAAAATAAGTAAAAAAGTTCGTATAAATGTATGTCCTAAAATACTTTGTTTCGGAGATACAGGGTGAAGAAGTTTCATTTTTGTTTCGATTTTTTCTAAATAATTTCTCAAGTAACGTCAATATTTGGATAAAAATTGGTATCTGGGTGTTTTGTATCACGAGAAATTTGATTTTAACCATAGAGTAAAGCCGTAACTATGGTAATATCAGAGATTAAGAAATTATACCGTGGGAAAATTTGCGGTGAACAGGCAGGGCCGGCGGAAGGGAAATATTGAGACCGGGCGAATACCCTACCTGGCGCCCCCCCCCCTATAGTTAACATGTTACCATAACAACTAAGTATATATATGCTACTTTAACAATAAAAATTCACTTAAAGGTACTTCAAAATTCTTCTCTTCGTTCAATCTTAGTCCGCGGTTGTTGTTTTTTCTATACCGGGTGCATCTTGAAAGCGACTCACCCTTATAACTATTTTAATTTTTTAGATAAAAAACGGAATTTGGTATGTTAGTATTTTTTTTTAGAATGAGTGGGAGGGGGTTAATCACTTCGACCTTACAGATCCATTGTGTCCCCCTTTCTTGAATCATAACTCATCATACAGTCCCAGGGCTTTGACAAAAGCCAGTATCTGGGGCGGTTTTATAGAGGGTAGTTCTCCGTCTCCAATATCAGTCGTACCAAAATTCATGGCACGAATGGTTGTCGTCTCGGCGCACTCAGTGATGAGGTGTACTGTGTTTCCTCATTTTCCCCACAGAATCTGCATTCGCCGTTTCTTCTTAGTTTCAATCTACTGAGGTGTTAATTGAGGAGACAGTGTCCTGTTAAAAACCCCGTGACAATCCGAAGATTGTTCTTACTTAAACCCAGGAAGATCTGTGATTTTTCTTAATCATAAGCCCTCAGAAACTTCTTCGAGTGTCTTAGACCGTTGCAAGATTCCCACTCCAGGTTGCGGACGGAATCTTCCAAGTTTTTGAGTTCCGCCTTGAGTTGATTACCACTTGGAAAGCAGAACGGTTCTGGTCCAGTTAGTGGAGTGTTCGCTCCTTTTCTAGCTAGATCATTTGCTTTTTCATTGCCTTCTATCCCTTGGTGAGCAGGCACCCAGAGTAGGAGGACTTTGTTTTCTTTGCCTAATTTATTCAGCTTCTCTATGCATTCTTTGGCCAATTTCGAATTGATTGATACTGAGTTGATCGCTTTTAACGCTGCTTGACTATCAGATAAGATGGCTATTTCTTGTTTCCGATAGTTCCTATCTAAGATAAGTTGTACGCATCTCTCGATAGCGTAGATTTCTGCCTGTAGGATACTAGGGTAAGTGCCCATTGGTTCGGAGTAATTAGCTCTCGGCGCAAACACTCCGATCCCTGTTCCCGTATTGGTTTTGGAAGCATCAGTATACCAAGTTATGGTATGGTCTTTTAACTGCTGGGCAAGCGTTTCGCTCTTCCAATCCTTCTTATTGCTCAATACTACATTGACATGTTTGTCAAAGTTGTACGTTCTTGGCATATCGTCCACTGGGAGTTTCAGGAGTGGTATTTCCTTTTTGAGGGTGTTCCAAGCCCCTGATCTGACAATTCTCCCAGTTCTAATTCCGTTAGTGACCATTCTAATCATTGTCGCATGGGCATCTCTACCAATGACAATGTGCAGTGGTGTTAGATCTAGAATGACCTCCATTGCTGCTGTTGGACAGGTTTTCATGGCTCCTGTGATACAAACGCATGCTAGTCTCTGGACTTTGCACAAGTTTAGCCTTGCCGTCCGTTGCTCTAGTTTTGTGAACCAGGCAACTGCTCCATAAGTAATCATGGGTCTTACTATCATGGTATACATCCAGCGCAAAGTGTTAGGGGAGCAGCCCCATCTATTTCCGGCCAGTCTTCTGCATATCATGAGAGCCTTTATGGCTTTGCTGGTAGTGTTCTTAATATGCCTGTTCCACAGGAGTTTACTGTCCAGGGTTATTCCCAGATATTTAACTTCCTGTGTTGGCAGTATTACCTTTCCATCTAGTTGAATTCTTTTCAAGTTTTTCAGACTTCGCTTTCTGGTGAATGGCACTATCGCGGTTTTGTCTGAGTTGATACTCAGCACGACAGTCCTACACCATCTCTCAGTGATACGGAGTCGTCTTTGGATAATATTACACAGGGTGCCTTTTCCCCCGAGCGATCATGACTATGTCATCTGCATACCCAATGCAGTGTATTCCCGCTAGAGTTAATTCATCTAGTAGTTCATCCACCACCAAGCTCCACAGCAAAGGGGAGGTTACTCCACCTTGTGGAGTTCCTTGCGTTGTTTTAACAGCTACAGTTAAATGTTAGTATATGACATAACTTATTATTAATTAAAAAAATCGTATTTTAAATTTCAATCTAGAGTGCCATGGCTGTGTTAAAAACACTAATTTTTAAACAAGGAGCCTTGGAAAAATAGATTTGATCGTCTAATGTTTTTCGTGTCTTGTCCTGGTGGGTTAAAAAATGCCCAAATCGTATTTTTAATCCTATGTCAATTTTTTTAAACGGAACAAGTGCTCATTTGCTGCATATTTGGAAAAAGAATTTTTTACGAATAATTTTGTACCAAACACTTGATATTTCGAGTCAAATTGTCGTTATGTACCGTATGTTACAATTTCAAATAAACCATATTATGCGAAAATGTAAAAGTTGACATATGATATGTCATTCTATTCAGATTGTCATTTTCTATCGCATAAAGTAGTAATATACCGAGGTTGACATTTAAAAATCAAAAGCTTTATTAATTTCCGGTGAAAGAGGAAGTGATGAAAAACAATTGAATATACATCAATTAATTCTAATTTATGTCGTATACTAACATACCAAATCTCGTTTTTTCATCTGAAAAAATAAACAAGTTATAAGAGCGAGCCAGTTTTGAGACGCACCCGGTATATAAATGATAAGCATAAGTGATCTTTGAAAACATTATTATTTAGTTGCAAGCAATTGCATTATGTTTCTATAAGAATTTAAGAAAAACTTCTTTTCTTTTTCACAATCAATCATTTCGTGCAGAATCAGTATAGGTATGATCAGATACAGTTTTGTCGGCTTCAAAATGAGGATCAGCCAGTGTTTGAGATTTGAGATGCATTCATTGTCTTGCTTTAATGAGAAATTTCTACGATTCTGCTACCATTTACCATGTATTACTACATATTCAATCCAGAATAATCAAAATCACCAGAAGATTGATATTTTTTCCCACTACTGTTAATAAATTAATGAGGCAAACTTACAAGCTTTTTTTGATAATGATATCGGGATAGCTTCTTCGATATTTAGCTTCTTGCGAATTGAATATTTGTTTCATATAATTTTAGGGCAGATCAGCCATTAACAAATAAAGGGTGTGGGTAGTAGACAAAGTGCAATTTTGAGCGGTCAGTCTAAAACTGTCAATTTTGCTGGCTCTTGACCCAAAACAGTTTATTGTTTAGAGAAAATTTATAAAAACAAGAATTATAGAAAGGAAGAGTTATTTACAAAAAAATTGATAGCTTTTCAGTTATAAGTAAAATACCACGAACAATTTTTTTTTAAATATTTTAGTTGCTGGCGTGGCGCCCCTCACATTCGGCGCCCCGGGCGGTCGCCCGGGTCGCCCGTTCCTTCCGCCGGCCCTGTGAACAGGCAGTTCTAAAAGGTTTTCGAAATATATACAGGGAAATTTAAAAGAAAATGTACGACATTCAACATCTTTTTTTTGCGAAAAAAACCTCATAGACGTGTTCCTGGGGTCAAAATATACCAGCCCTGAAAATATTTGCACTTATTTAAGACTCACCCTATATATGCTGCAACTACATCATAATCAAGGACTACAACACATACCAACCCTTTCTACGGTTATTAATTATCACCATCCTCGTTCCATTTGAAAAAAATGAGATATGATTAAAAATACGATTTGGGCATGTTTTAACTGGCCAGGTCTGGCACAAGGGAAACAATAGACAATCAAATCTATTTTTCTAATGCATCTTGATTAAAAATTAGTGTTTTCAATACAGCCATGATTTTTTTAAGCAAAAATGTCAAAAGTTGCCATATTATGATATGCTATTCTATTCAGAGTGTCATTTTCTATCGAATAGAGTAAAAAAATACTGAGGGTGCCATTTAAGAATCAAAAGTATTGTTGTAGCAATTTCCGGTTAAACAGGAAGTGGCCAAAAACAATTGAATACATTAATTAATAATAATTTGTCATATACTAACATACCAAATCTCGTTTTTTATCAGAAAAAATAAAGAAGTTATAGAGGTGAACCGCTCTTGAGAAACACCCGGTATATTATGTTCATGGCCCTAAAAAAATAATACCTTCTCTATAAATCAATAATATCAGAGAGAAAATTCAATCGCAGTTTACTATAAAGTGCTTCAATAGAATAGACCACAAAATTACATTCGTAACAATATCGCAAATCGTCACTCCTACAAATTCAAACTCGCAGATAGAACGCGGTCCCAGTTGGGAAGTTGCTCTTTATCATGGTCTCATATAAAGGGATATTTCTTCGGTTTGTCATTCATTTGCTCCATAAGATTTCATTTAGACATTTCAAAAAAAAAAATTCAAAAAATTTTGAATTTTCAAATTTTTTTTTCGCGAAAAAGACCTCATAGGCGTTTTTCTGGGGTTGAACTATATATATACTAGCATTTATTTCTGGGACACCTTGTACTGTGGTCCTCTTTTGATCCTTATATCCCTTTCAAAAAGTCTAGCAAACCTGGGGCGCTATTCTGTACATCGTCGGTATCGGCTATCGGTACGTATTTGTATACACTTAAATCAAGGAAAATCTTTCCATTAAATTACTGTGT